TTGATGTGAAAATATGATATGAATGAAAGTTATAAATTGGGGTCTATTACAGGGACAAAAGTGACCCTTGTAATCACCATTTTTACCTTAATCCAGCTAGTTCCTCGCTCCAATTAGCACCCGCCAGCAGCTCCACGTTCCAGCAGCTTCCACCAACGACAGTTGATTCTCTACTCTACACAGTAGCTGCCAACACCCCAACCATGTTGTGGATTCCCCTGCTCCAAGTTTCAATAGCTTCAACAACAGTTGTCCCTCCTCCTGTGACTTCCAACAGCTTCTAGTAGGAGCCAGCTGCCCTCTTCATTCTAGCTCAACTGCCATGCCCATGGACTCAAATGTTCCACGTCGCCGGCAGCTCCACCCGTGGTCATTAATGCCCCACGTCAATGTTCAGCCCATCATTACAAAACCAAAGATAATGTATTTTTTTTACATGTAAACTGGGGTTATAAAACCCCCAGAATAGTATGTAACTTTTTACAGAGAGCTAGCAAAAAATACACAAAGAAAGTCATAAATAAAAAGCACTACAAAGGTTATTTTACATTTGATTTTTATTTTCAGTTTTACATTTTATTTTATTTTTTTCGAAACAGCAAGATACATAAAAAAAGTAAATAAGAGTAGTTTTGCCTTGTTGGTTCTTCGCCGGAGTATAGGTCATCGGCGAAGCGTAAGTTGAAGCGTCGGGGAAGAAAGGCTTGAGTTTTTCAAGTCTTGTGCTTGGTAGTTTACTCCCAAATCGGGACTTAGAGTTTTTTTAGGAAAGTTTTAAGTTCGGGTTTTGTTTGGGGTGGTCAGAATAGTGGATGGCCATCGATTTACGATGGTCGACGACGAGATGTGGGGTTTTTATGGCTCTTGGTCGTATATGAAAGAAGAATAAGGGAGAGGCTTTTCTCTCTATTGAGAGAAAATATGAAGAAGATAGTAGCTAAGTTAGTCAAATAGGGGAATATATATATATATCTTAGGTTTTGGGTTATTTACCTTTAAGTCACTCCATTTTATTGTGTTTTACACTTCGGTCACTGAATTTAAGGTTAAACTATGTTTCAATCCACATATATTAGATGTGTTTTGCATTTTGGTCGCTGAAGGGTTCATTTAATTTTCAGAGTAAATCATGCTAAAGTCCATGTACTTTAAGCATGGTTTTTCATTTAAGTCGCTAGTTAGTTTGTTAATCATCCATAAGCCATTCTAGTTTAGGTGTGTTTTTTATTTTGATCATCGATATTCTTTCTTTATTTTATTTCAATTTTTGCATGTTAATTTCTATTTTATTTTATTTTAGTCATTAATTAATTTTGTTATTATTTTATTTATCAATATGATACTATAGTTTTATTATTTTTATTTTGGTCATTGTTTAATTGCAATTTTTTATTTTTTTATTATTGCCTTTTATGTTTCAATACTTTAAATATAGTCCTTTAATTATTTCTTTTTATTTTTTATTCATTTCATTTTAGTCACATGAATATATATATATATATATATATATATATATATATATATATATATATATATATATATATATATATATATATATATGAAAGTTTCATAAGTATTACTTGACTGATTTCATAATTTGATTAAAGGATAATATTTATTTATTTTTAAATATTAAGAAAGGATTGTCTTAAAGTAACTAGATGTACTATTTTGATATTTTAAAATAAATAAATACCCTACTTATAAAAACCTAAAAAAAAATAGAATATGCATACTTTAGTTATATTCATTTTGGTTATATCAAATTATTTTAATATTGAGTTCTTGGAAAGAATTATCATATTCTTATTATTTCATATGGAAAGAGAAATATCCGTCCTAAAGTATTTTAGGGATTATTTTCTCTTCGATTGGAAATATTAGAATATTTTCTATTTTTCTTTAGAATTTTCTACGATTGAATTTGGAATAATAGGATCGTAACTTAAATTTTTATTTGAATTCTTAGATTTTCACTACTAGAGACAATTTATAATCAATGGGTACCAATTTTGGGCATTGTGGGGGTGCTAATCTTTCCCCATGCGTAATCGACCACGAATCCCTTTTTATTACTAAAAAATAATGATTTTCTGGTTATATGTAGACTAGTTTATCTTTTAAATGATGTTTTCTTAAAAACTTTTTTAAAAAGTAATTTTTAGGTATTCGACCTACCTAACCCAAAAAGGGTCGATGATGACTCCAAAACATTTCATTGAAAACCATTTATTCACTTGCTTTTCTTCAAAAAAAACGTCGTACCGGGCGAAAATCGGTTATGACAACCCTTAAGCTAAACAAAAAATATCATATCAGCAGTTCTATTAATTTTTTTAATGGTGAGTGATAAAAATGAAATTAAAATGTAATGTTATATGTGATTTTGAAAATAGTTGGATGACTACAACATAACAAAAGTGATAGTTATGGTACTAAATGTGTAGTTTACCTTTTATTTAGTTTTTGCTTTTCATTCATTGAATAAGAAAACGCATCTTTTAATTGTTATTTTTCTAGAACCTATTTCATGCCGAAAATATACTCCTTTTCAAACTGCCTTTCACATATTAAACAAGTTCAGTTTATTCAGATGATGGAATTCGGACAATATTCTAATAGAATATATTTTCTATTTCAATAACTGATTTAATTTGTTGGCCTAATATTATTTTAATTTAAAATTAATAAAAGGGTAAATATTTTAAGATATTTAACAATTGATAAAATAATCTTTAATTATATTTTTAAAGTATTTTAATTTTCAATATTTTATTTTTAATTAAAATATCCATTTTATAAAAATATTAATTAATTATTCACATTTATTGTTAATGTAATATTTTTATAAGTATTTAATTATAGTATTAAAAATTAAAAAAATTGAAAAAAAAATTAAAGTAAAATTCATGATGTTTTAAAGGTGACTTATTGAAGATATGATTGTACTCACCGGTCGTACACTCATACACTCACGCGCCAACCAAATTCAACAGAAACCGAATTGAAAGAAAAAAAAGTAGTACACAAACCCCCTAATCACACACCGGAATTCCTTTCCAAATTTCAACTATCAACTTTCTTTTACTCTTGTTTGGGTCACTCAATTTTAATATCATACCTATTTTGATCACTCAAGCCTAAAATTAGTAACAAAAAAGTGATGTGACGAATTTTAGGATTTCTTGGTCGCCTTCAACGATGACCAATGGTGGTCAGCACAACAAACGATGGTCGAAATCTGGATAGAGAGAGTAAGAAAAAGAACAAGAGAATGAAATTGTTTTATTGTAAATTTATTTTTTCGAAAATATATTGTTTTAGTATCATTTGACATGACAGAACATTGATAACTATTTAACGGTAGATTGCTCATAACAAGATCAACATATATAAATATTAGGGTAAATTACGCTTTTAGTATCTAAATTATTAGTTTTGGTTTGTTTTAGTGTCTAAATTTTTTCAAAATCATACTTAAAGTTTAGTTTTTATTTCATTTTAGTATCTCTATTCAAAATTTAACATTAAGTTTCGAAAAAATTGAAAGTTTATGTAATAAAACGAGCCAAAATTGATAGTTTAGGTGTTAAATGCGTTAAGTTTTTAATAGTGTTGTATTAAAATGAAACAAAAAACTAAATATTAGGTATGATTTTGAACAGGTTAAAAGTTTAAATATTAAAGCAGATCAAAACTAATAGTTTAGATACTAAATGCATAATTTTATTAATCCAACTTTAACCAACTCGGTCATACAAAAATTAGGGTTGTTTGGTTCGGGGAATGTAGAATTCTCATAGGAATGGAATTCACATCCCCTTGTTTGGTTGATCGGAAATCTCATTCCCGGTAATGTTTTATTACCAATAGTGGATTTTTTTGGGTATATTAACGGGAATGTCATTATCTTCATTCCCTTAGGTGCTGTTGGATTACCGGCGTTTTGAACTAAAATGCCCTTAATTTTTTTTCAAAAATATCCTTCGTCTTTCATTGAATAATAAAAATTCTACGAAGGTTAAATTACAAATTTATCCTTAAACTATTTTAGATTTACAAAAAAATCTATAATTGAAATTTTATATAAAGTTAAGGGGTTAAAATAAAATTTTACCTTTTAATGAAACCTTTTTATATTTTCAATTTTGTAAAAAAATTATATAAATTTTATGAATTTAATTTTTTTAAAGAAAATATATAAATATTTTTCAACTTGTTAAAGAAACAAATATATAATAAGGACAATTTAATCAAATATATATTCCAATAATATTTTATTCTTTTAACCAAACACAGTAATCTTACATTCCTGCTAATTAAACTAACCAAACACAAAATACAACATTCTCAGTAATCCTATTCTCTAGAATCTTTTATTTTCACTGATAATTTTACATTCCGTGAACCTAATTCACCCGAATAATTAAATCGTCGGGAAGGGAAATAATTAACAAGGCATAGATATAACAAGCCCATCATATTTCGTGGAAACAATGGCACCACATCTTTTCAGATAAAATGGTTGGTCCATCTTATCAAAAGAAATTTCCAATCATTTTGTATGACTTGTTTTGTTTATATATATATATATATATATATATTAGTTTTTAGGGTTTCGTTGCTATTCATTTAAAATGTGTCATTTTGTGGTTGAACACATATTGGGCTATTAAGATTCACCCAATGATGCATTTGACTTTTCTTATGTTTTTGTAAATCTTACATTAAAATAATTGATCGAATCACAAAAAACTTTTAATATTTTTCTAATTTCCTTTTTGTTAAAGAGAGCTTTATTGGTTTCACTACGGTTATTTAGGAAATTAACAAGTGTCCAAGTACTGAAGAATCATTCTCTTGATGTGATCCCCTTGGCTAATAGTTTAATATTATTAGAGATGATCATAGTTGTAGGTTTTCCCATGGTCAACCTTTGTATATATAGGGGGAGAGAGAGATAACAAGGAGAAGGATAGTTCAGACTTGAGAAATTTCAAATTTGCCTATATTCGTTTCTCTGTTTCCCCTTCTCTTCCATTGCTGAAACAGAAATTCTAAGCTTGGATGGGTATTCATGATGATGGTGCATGTAAAACTGCTCTCGTTCTCCGTTTAGGACTCTCATCGACCGTGGAGTCGCCGTCGAAGCCCGATAACAAACAAACTCCCAACAGGAATCCATCGTTTCTAAAGTTCGAAGCAACGAGCTTTGATGATGAACCCTCGCTGACGTTGGGGCTCTCTGGTGGCGGTGAGGTTGATGTGAAACCTGCGGGTGATTTGTATCGTCAAGCTTCGACTGTTAGTGCTGTTTCTTCGTTTTCAAGCGGTAAGGTGAAGAGGGAGAGAGAGGTTAGCAGTGAGGAATTAATGGAGGTTGAGAATAATAATAATAATTCCTCTAGACTCAGTGATGAAGATGAAGAAGGCGTTAATGGAAGAAAGAAGCTCCGGCTCTCCAAACAACAATCTGCTCTTCTCGAGGAAAGCTTCAAACAACACAGCACTCTCAATCCCGTAAGCTTTCAACAATTCTTTTGATTCTATATAAATATTGGATTGATTAATCTTTTGATTCTATATTTTATGCTTAACAGAAACAGAAGCAAGCTTTAGCAAGGCAGTTGAACTTGAAGCCTAGACAAGTTGAAGTATGGTTTCAGAACAGAAGAGCAAGGTAGATTAAACAGCAAACATAATCTGGGATTCCATCATATCTACCAAATCATTGAAATAAACTTGTTTTCTTGGGCAGGACAAAGCTGAAGCAAACTGAGGTGGACTGTGAGTTGTTGAAAAAGTGTTGCGAGACACTGACGGATGAAAACAGGAGACTGCAGAAGGAGATTCAAGAACTCAAGGCACTGAAACTGACTCAACCCTTTTACATGCAAATGCAAGCGGCCACCCTCACCATGTGCCCATCTTGTGAGATAACAACCGCCGTTGCCGACGCCAATGCCAATTCCAACACCCCGTTTTCGATGGCTTCGAAGCCTCACCATTTCCATAATAGTAATCCCTTAAGCAGTCCTTCTGCAGCTTGTTGATTAAGTTTTTCGGAAACTTATTCGTATCAAAAGAAAGAAAACACCACCCAACAAGCCATCAAACCCTTTATTATTTGGTTGAGGGCTTCTAGTGAATTAAAACTAGTTTAATTATTTAATTAATTAATTTGTAGAAATCACTCATCTTCCCCCCCCCCCATACATGTATGTAAATGTTGAATAGAAAATATATATAGCATCTATGAAAGTATTACTGTTTTTGTGTTTATAATTGATTCTTTTGTTCCGTGTGTAATTGTGTATTTCTTGTTTCGATCAAAATTTCCCTTCAAGTTTATATTATTAGCTTTAATTAATTATATGGCCATGGATGAAACAATGAATATAAAAAGAGATGATTTGACGCTGGCATTGCTTTCATTTTCCTTTTTAATTGTAGAAATAAAATTGCACTTAATTATATTTAAATATGAAAGAAAAATAACTACATTGACTATCATTTCAAAATGAAAAGTAAGGACTTTTTCCCCCAAGAAAACTTGCTTTGAAACTTCTTACACACTTGTCAAAAAGAATTCATGTTCAAAGAATTTAATAATATATTATTATTTTTACATAAATTTAGCAATATAAAATATTATGTGGAAAAAATGGTACAAAGGTTCATCCCATATTGATGGGTGGAATAGTGTCCACCTTTTTAGGTGTCTAAGAAGAAATATGATTAAGTGAGAAAGGAAAAGGTTGTGGGGAAGGAGGTTTTCTCTCTAATTTCATTTGTTTTATATGCACGAAAGTATAATCTACAGTTTTGAAATATAAATACATAAGTACATTAAAATTTATAGGTCAAATTATGGGTTTGGTCCCTCTACTTTGATGGAATTTAAGATTTATTCTAAACTTCAATCTTACATGGTCTAATACTCTATCTTTATAATGTCCTCAATATTTTTGTTTATCATAACATTTTTTGGTATAACCATCGATATTCAATCTATTAATCTGAATTATGTAGTGTAGAGGATCAATATTGGGGTGACTTTCCCAATCTAATTGATCTATTAATAAATGTCAGTATCAAACTTCTAACTTTACTTAAAAGATATGGTGTCTCATCCCACTAGGCTAACTTATCATCCTATCTATAACTACCCTAGTTAAAATAATCGTGTATATTTTTCTTAAAAGCAAGCTTCCTATTTATCATGCTGATATTTTTTTTCTTCCCTTGGAATGTGAATATTGAAAAAAAAACGTGTTAGTATTTCTAGTAAATGGACCAAATCATGTCAAATTGAAACACAGAATAAATAATAAATTTGAACATAATATAGAGGGCCGAAAACACAATTTAACAAGAAAAATATATAAATATAGGAGAAAAGTAGGAAAAACGAAGCAGGAGACTGAGTCAAGAAAAATAATTTTAAAAGGAAAAAGGGGTGAGAAGCGTGTAGAAAAAGAAAGGGACGGATGATTCAGTTGAAAAACCCAGAAGGAAGAAAACGAAAGTTGAAAAGGAAAAAGAAAAAAACAGGGTGTGGTGAGATGCTCGGTGTTTAAGGGAACTGGTGTGGTGGGTCATGCATCATCCACCCACGTGATGTCCCAATGGGCAATGGCTTTTTTTTCACCATCACGAGCCTTGGTTCCATGCCCTCAAATCCCCACACTTTCTGAATAAAAATCCCAAAAAAAAGCTACATATTCTACACTTTTACGATAGAAGGAATCTAATTGTCTCTCTTAGGTTTCATCACTAGATCAAGTTGAGGGTATCATGGTGGTGGTGTTCCTTATTCGCAAGTTAAATGCATGTATTCGTTACAGGCACGCTATCATCATTGCTGTCCAATCTCCACACTCGACAGTAACATGAATTATTACAAACTTTTCCTTATCAAATACTACTACTACTACTTATGCCCACCGCACTTTCCTGGAAAATCAGGGTAACTTTCCAGTAATCTCTCTCATTCTTCAGTTTCTCTTTATCATTATATCAAAGTTATCAAATCTTTATCATTATGAATCATTATGTACGTGAGTGCCGACGTAATTCATACATAAAGAAAGTAACAGCAAAAGACAGGTGTCTTGAGTTGGATAATTTGTCGGTCAATGAAGCATATTTTTTTGTTGGATATGGCATTTTCGGACAGATCTTTTGCATTAGGTGTTTTTATTTATTTTTCTTCAATTAAGGTTTGATGGAGTAGCAATTAAGCTGGTTTTTTTTTATAAAAAAAAAAACAAGAACAACAACAACAAGATCCGGTTAAAACAAAACAATAAGGCATTTACGTGTTGTTTTGTATGCACTGTCGCCCTCCAATTATGGGTACCTTGAGTGCAACTCTTTTGCTCTTCACCATAATCAATTATGCTCTCATCTTTCATTTTCAAATAAATAAAGAAGAAAGGTAAAAACATTGTCAATATCAAATTATTTATAGTACTTGGCTTTTTGGACTAGGGTTAAAACATTTCAATAATGGTTCCGGTGAGTGAAAAACTAATTTTACTATTTTTAATTCAAATCTTTTATAGTCACATTAAATAATGATTAAATATAGCATCAAAATAGATCAAATCGTTAATGGATACTTTCCCAATTCTATTTTCTTCATTAAATAGATTTGAATTAAAAATTTCATTTAAATACATCGAACTCATTTCACTTAACTACGTAATATTTTTCATAAGTATTACTTCAATAGGTATTACCTTTAATAAAACACGATGTAAACTATTTTAATAGGTTTTAAGAACCTATTGAAATGTCTTAATAGTAAAAAAAATAGTATTGTTCTTTTTAAAATTTATTAATTTAAACAGTTACGTCTACAAGATGTATGTGTATTATCAATGACTAAAAATATATTAATATAGATGAGAAAAATAATGTAAAATTAAAAAAATAAAATTCAGGGAGTAGAAGTTATTTATAACTTTTTAAGACACTGAACTTTAACCGTAAACGGATTTGGTAGTTGGTTGTGGTTATGCGTTTGGTAATGAGACGGCTGAGCCTGAGTCGTCCGTGACTAAGAAGTGGTAATTTCCAATTGGGGGGAGGAGCCGACCTAGGAGAATAGTTGGTGTGTAAGATTAAAGCAACCGTAATTAAAGGGTTACGCCCAAACTTTTTCAAAACCCCATTAATGATCTTGCACCACAAAGTCAAAATGAAATCCATGATTTAATGTAAAAAAACATGATTTCGTAATCAGCCTTGTTGACAAGATTGCAAACATATTGTAGACTATTTTGAGTTTTCAAATCAATTTTCTTTCCCCATGTGAATGAAATTTCCATGTTCAACCTAGCTTGTGAAAGAGGTAAACAGGTCAAACAAACCTAACCCAAATTTTATTGAACTAAAAATTGAAGATATGGACCCATCCATACCATGTCAATAACAAGGGATGGCCACCGCATGACACCCAAGAGACTGATGGTGAATTGTGGCATTGCCGTGTTTCATATACAATTGCCATACACCACCCACTGACAAATTAAATCATATCTGACTATCGTTCGGATATGGCGCCCCAAACACTCGCCATGCCACGACAGGAACAGACACGTTATGAAAAATATACGTACATATTATTATTGACAATTACACGAGATGATAATTTGATAAATCCTATCAATTACACGAGATGATAATTTGTACAATTCTATTAGCATCCCTTAATCTCTATCATAATATTCGGATAATTCATTTGTGCTTGAATGATATATTTTTAATATATATTTATTTAATTTAAATTTTTATTGACTTATATAAATTTTTGTAAAACAACTTTATTAGATTTTAAATATTTATGTTGATATTTATTTAATTACTATATAAATAAAACTTCAAAACTTAAATTACTAATTTTTTAAAAGAAATAAAAAAACGTGTTTAGTCCATCATGTTTTTTTTAACTGATTACGTTTTTGCCCTAAACTACATGCTCATTGTTCAACCAACGAAGGAGTATTATTTTTTTACTATGTAAGTAATTATCCATGTGCATAATTTATTGAATAGTTTAGGGAATGATTCAACTAAGAAAAAAATCGTTGAGTAACTATAGTTGGTGATTGATTAAGTTGCTCATTTTTATTCTTTTATTCATGTTTAGATTCACTAAAAACACTCTTATTCCTCTAAATAAGATTTAAATTAAATTTAGGATATATCGATGCTTAATCAAAATCCTTTTGTGGTTATGTAGTCTTAATAGACTTTTTTTACTCAATAAGATAGAGTAGATTTCATGGTTAATTTATAAATCTTGAATAAAAAATTATAAATATTAAAATTCCAACATACATCTTTTAAAACCACGAGTTCAACAAAGGAGTTCCTCTGTTCGGGAGCAGTTCAAATAATTTCAGGATTTGACTGCCCATGGTGCTAGTCAGGTATTGAAAATGTGGATCACCTTTTTGTTAATTGCAAGTTTATTAGTAATTTCTGGAGTGATTTCTGTGCTTAGTGGTCGGTTGATAGTGGTTCATGTAGTGGATCGATTGATGATCTGTTTAATTAGTGTTCCAACGTGAATTGGGTGGGTAATGCTAAATCAGTATGGTTGGTTTCGGTAGCAGCAGGTCTATGGAGTATTTGGTTGGCTACGAACGAGAAAAAATTTAAGGATAAGGCGATTAGTGTAAAAGAATTGGTCTTTAGTTCCAAAATGAGAGCGTTTTTCTGGTTAAAATCAGGAAATATATCCGATTTTTTACAGAGGCTGATTGGTGGCAGCAACCAATGGATCGTGTTGTTAAAAACCGAGCTAGCAAAATTGTTTCTGAATGGTGCCCACCAGTAGAAGGTTATTAGCAGCATAAGCAATGCAAGTCATGCCACGCTGGCAATGACTGTTGAGAGATAGTTAGAAGTTTGTTAAAATGTTAGCGTTGGTTACTCTGTTAGAGTTGTTGAGAAGCTGCTTGTATTGTGTATAAAACTAACTCATGCATTGTAATAAAAAATACGATATTCCAGTGATCAATTTTGTATTTTTGCCCTCTTTCTAATATGGTGTCGTTCGCCATTGATCTTGGGGCTTTATGTTTGGCTTCCGTTGCTTGAGCAATTCTTGATGGATTTCACCACAAGTTCTAAATCGTTTACCCACAAGAAGGTAAATGTTGACCTTGACGAAATGAATTTTCTTCCTTAGAAGCAGCAAATTATACTCACCATAAGAAGTCATCGGTCAGAACGGTTGCTTACAGGAGCTGCAGTGACTCCGTCGGAGG